TCAGGAGAAAAAAAACAAAAATAATCACCTGTGCTTTTCATCACTAAAATACAAAAATAGGATCATTAAAATAGGTAATACTAAACTATTAATAAGTACAGTACGTATCTTGGAGCATGTAGCAGTCATCCAGATTGTTGTTGTTGTTGTTGTTATTTGCCGTCGAGTCAGCCCCGACTCATAGCGACCCCTCCTTGGGTTTCTGAGGCAGTATCACTACGGAAGTAGGACTGCCCAACCGTCCTTCCGAGCAGTGGCTGGTGGGTTTGAACCGCCAGCCTTCTGGTTAGCAGTCAAGTGCCTTAGCCACTATGCTACCAGAGCTCCTGTCATCCAGGTAGCATTACCCAAATACTCAAAATCTAAAATTCTACAAGACAGGAATAGTAAAATCTTGCACTAAAAATTCTTCCAAATCAAAGCAATCTTTTTATGACCTCAGATGACAGTTCTTAACTTTGTCATCCCATAGCTAATAATCAGTAACTTTACTTCATTGCAGTGCAGAGGGCATTAAAGCCACAGAATAACCATCTGTTGTCTCCTTTCTCAGAAGACAGTGTAACAGAATATAAACAACTCAGGAAAATTTCATATTTGGATTATCTACTAGTTTTAACAGGAATTTACAATATTTGTGATTCCCATCACTACCACCTAAGAATACTCACAAATTAAACAAATTACAGATTTTTTGAAGAAAACATCAATGTTAAAATCACCTACTTCCTGATATAAAATGTTTGAACATATAAAAGACCCAAGGCCCAACACCTACATTCTTAAAGTTCCTGTCAAGTCATAATGAACACATTCTATATAGCATTCTGGTATCCTCTTCATGCCCTACATACACATACAGAGAGTAAGGAATGAAAGAAATAAGTAAGAACAGTAAAGAACATAGAACCTGAAACTCTCACTAAACATTCAGAGATATCCACCAATACGGGAAATAAGATGGTAGAGAAACATGACAATACAAAATGCACAAAAGTAAAATCAAGTTTGTGAAAAACTGACCAGATAGTAGGTAACGGTTTGGAATATGAAAATTATTTTAGATGTAAATGGAATGGTGGTTATGTTTATAATGGCCAATTTTTACAGACATATACTGAAATATTTGCAAATGAAACAGTAATACAGATAAATGCTTCAAAATAACCAGAGTAACTTAAGCGAAAAACCTAGATTTGACAAATGCATAAATGTAAAAGTTTATTAGTGATCAAGGTGCTGGGAGAGAGGAGAAATAGAGTATTACAGCTTAAGGGTATACAGTTTCTGTTCTGGGGTGATTAAAAACGTGTGGAACAGATAACACATCAATGAATGCCATTTATGTCAATGAACTGCACACTTAAAAATGGTTAATACAACAATCTTGTTGCTATGTATCCTTAATTCAAAAAATAGATGACTAAATAAAATAGGGAGGGGCAACAGATAAGACAAGATTGGCCATGGTTTGATTTATTATTGAATCTAGGTGATGAATACCTTCATCATACCTTAATAACTGACTTTAAAAAAAAAAGTTGGAATAAAAACAATGTCTAGAAAACAAATGTCAACCATTCTTAATTTTACTATGTGTTGGTCTGGAAACTGTCACACATCAAAAGGCCTAGGACACATTACAGATGTTATTGGGGGGAGGGGGAGATACCCATGATTCTTCCTTTAGTGTGAATAAAATACGCAATAGTAATATTGTGTGTAAGTATTAACAAGGTTAATAAAATACTAACTCAGAGTGGAATTTTCACTATCTCTAGCATGAAAGGAATCTGAGGAAATGCTGGTAATAAAAAGGAATCCTAAAAAGATTGGGAAACCTAAGATTGTAAACACTACAGTAAATAGTTTTGGGCCATTTATAATGCAGTTTCATATTTTTCATGTTTCCATCAGTATTCTTAACAACACTGAGTAGGCATTATTATTCACATCTTAGAGATAAGAAATAGAAGGAATAGGGAGATTACATTATTTAATGGCTTTGATCATAACCTGCTCTAAATGACATGATTTTAGATTCCTCAATTACTCTTTTCTCCACAGCAACTACCTCCCTCTCATAATATAACAAAATCTGAGTAGTATAGAAATAATCTTAAAAAAAAAATCTGAATCACATTTATGTGATTTTCATATGAAGAATGTGAGTATACAGTGGATAATGATTCATCCCAATTTAAATAGAAAGATTCAAAGCTTTCAGCACATCTCAGAGCCAATTTGCCATCATCTTTTATTAAGTAACCTAACTTAATTGGATCCACATCATCAGGTTACTCATTAGGATCATAACAAAAAATGGAACCTTGCCAATAAAGTATTATTAGGATGGCTTGAGAGAAAATAAATACCATTTTCCTAAGTAGCTTTTCCACCTTCTTCCAGCAACTACCTAAGAAACCATACTTCCCCAAATGAGCAAAGCTAATAGATTTGCTATTTTCCAGTTTACTGATGCACTACCCCAATCAGCATCATACATTTCTATCATACATATTGTAAAATTCTTGATAAAATAAACACTGTTCAATATCTATTATATGGTTGTTGTTCCACTAGTCAAAAATCTTTTCCTATTGGCTTAGGTTAGAATAGAAGGGTTAAGATTCCTTTTCACTAATGCTCTATGCCAAACAACAGCACTAGAGAGTAACTAAAGGTATTCTCTGTCTCTTGAAACACAGAAGATGAGGCCAACAGTGGTGTGGCCACCAATTTTTAGAACCAAAAAGCAACAGTAAGAAATTTGAAGTTATAGCTGTAAACATATAAACATCTGCCAATCCTTGCTGTGTCTCTTATTTTCAATCAACCCCTTCCAAATCTCTCACTTAAAACAAATTTTTTCTTTCTTATTTACAACAGGATGACAGAAGTGATCAAAAATTTCTCAGCCTCTTATTGATGATTATTACATATGATTAATGTGGTGCTATGTATCTTTACAACAATAAAAATTTGTTTGCTACCTCACCGAAAAGAACAAAACATTAGACTATTCTGATTAAGAGTAGAAACTACACTGTTACCATTTTCTGTACACTCATAAAACAAGAATTTCTAAAGTCCATGTTCCTCCAGAAATTGTATTTTAACAAAAAAAAGCATACTAGAATTTTTCTGAAAGGAGTCATAACAAAGAAACAGGAGAAGAATCACTGAAACTAGCTATTTAAATGTCATTAAAATGTGGTCAAGTGACTCTTGTATGCAAAAAGAGTATAATGCAGCTATTCACATAAATGTTCACACAAACTCACTGGTCTGCCTTCAAGTTCCTCAATTAGTGACCAAGTTTTCAGTGGCAAAGGGACATCCAGATATTTTCTCAAATTGGAAGATAGCCCACCACTTTTCCTTTTTCTTTAATTTCTAAGTACAAAAACCATTGCTACTTTCAAAACATGTCCAAAACAAACCACTAGGTACAAATGAAATATTCATTTTGATGTTAAGTGAAAAAACTTAGCATGGTGTTCAAGGCGCATTATATACAATGTAGATCCAAACTATCTTTCCAGTTTTAGTTTTCTATACTTTTCATGACTATTTCTCAAACACATTAGGGTACATTTTTAGTCTCCTTGTCCATGCTATTGGCTGACTCGAATCTCTTTCCTAATTACCCTTTCATGATTAATAAACTCATTTCAAATGTTTCTCTTCTTTGAACATTCCTTAATAACTTAAACAAGCTACTGTTTTTACTGTAAAAGCAGAGATTGGTGTTCTAATTGGAATTATTATTTACATTAATAATATGAAAATTCTAATCTTAGGAATATTATCTAAGATGAGAAAAGAAAAATAAATTTTGATGGCTTATCAAGTTAAACATGAGTATGGTCAATAAACTGTAATTTAAAAAGTGGTTAGAGAAAGGAGCTTTGGTGGCATACTGCCTAAGGCATATGACTGCCAGGCTGGAGGTTCAAACACACCAGCTACTCCTCAGAAAGATCTACTACCACAGTGATACTGCCGCAGAAACCCAAAGGGGTTGCTATGAGTCAAAACTGACTCAGTGGCAATGATTTTGTTTTTTTAAAACTAGAGAAACCTAATGTTTAACTAATGTAAATAAAAACAATAATTTTAAGAACGACAACATGATACTAACATTTTTTAGCGTATCATTCCAGCCAATAAGGAATTCTTCTATCAAATCTAAACACATCATTCAAAAGCCATCACCCACCCAGTTCTATCCATTCATCTTCCAATTTTATTCCCCATAACTCTCTAATAACCTCTCTGAAGGCACAGGAAGAAATGATAATCATTATTCCAACTTCCCTAATTTATAGACTAGTACTATCAACGCTCCCCAATGTACAATATAAATCCTATCACTTCACCACAACCAAAGTAATTTGTATTGCTAATTCATTACATATAATGCTTATGGTAATCAGTTTTAATAGTTGGTTTTTGCAAAGGAGGATTCAGGATTTTTAAAGAATCACCTTTTACAGTTTTTCTTTATTTTCCTAACACAAATTCACAATAGCAGATGGGATTTAAAAAGAAAAAGAACAAAATATGCCAAATGGGATGGAATACTCCACAAGGCAAGTGGAAAGTATGTAATAGAAAATTAATGAAGAAAACATAGAAGTAACTAATGAGTCTCATTTTCACAATGTGGCAGCCAAGTAGAACTCACTTTGGATATGCAAATTAAGACCAAAACAAAACTGACTTTTCTCCAAATCACAAAGTAAAAGCCATAGCTCACAAAGATTAGAACCCTCATATACCCTAAAAATATATGAAGTGATTGTCTAAAATCAACAGAAATGTCACCCTACTTAGCTTATCTCCAATGTTTTGTAAAGTTACTTTTGGTTTAAAATCATGCTTAGTATTCATTACTGTAAATAGGAAAGTTCATTGCAACAAAATAGAACGAAATGTCTTATTCTTACTACATGGATTTCCACCAGAACAGAGAAAATAAAATTGTTTAAACATACCTGTCATAATAATCTCGCTGGAAGTCATAGTCCAAGTCAAAAGAAGAGCTGAAAAAATAAATCCCAAAGAGGATTAATTTTGGAGATATTAATGTAAATTCAAAACAGCAGATGGGAAAAAAAACATGCAAAAAACTTACACAACAAATAAAATCAAACCAAGATTAGCATGTAATATTCCACAAACATTAAACAATAAATCACAAAGTCTCAAATTACTTTCCTCAGTAAAGATTGCCTGTCATGTTAGGCCACTAGACATACAGTGGCCAAATTTCTAATTCAGTTAAAGTTTGCTAAAATTTCAACACATAACAGCTAAAAAAATAAGAACAATGAATAATACAAGAGTCAACTAAGCATTGTAATATCACCTCCTTCCCCTTTTTTACTTCCCAGCTTCTTAGAAGCTACAACAACCCCCCTAGAGAATTTCAATTTATGCTATAAACACACAACTATGCTTTAAGAGCCAAAGTATCAGAGAATTCTAAGTAATTCTCTGAGAAACGGGTGAAAAGGAGGCACATTAACACTTACAAAATTAATAAAACATTACTTTTACAAAGAATAAACACAAATCACATTTAACCCTCCCCAGAAAACAGATAGAGAAGATGCCCATTGATGGACACAATGTAGTTATAAATAATAAAGTTCCGGACCTGAGTAGAGGGGACGGAGAAGGGTGTTCTGGTACTGACCCGTACATCTCCGCTGCAGATCGTTTCACACCTGCTTTTCCTCGGTTCACTTTTGGCTCTGCAGCCAGATTAATATCTGGAAAAACAAAAATAAAAACAAAAATTCTAACAACTCTCCTCGGGGGGGAAAAAAAGTTAAAACTTTTATCACTTTTAAAATGGTACAAACTCATAAAAATGAGCTAAGGGCTAACAATATATCTACTCATATCTTGTCATAAAAAAAAGACTTAGGAATTTTGCACCACTGATTCATCCACCCCTCCTTTTATACTCTGTTCTTTATCAAAAAGTGTTCAGTAGAATATATTGTTTCTCATTCCACTCTCAAAATGCAGTGTACTCTATTCTACTCATTCACTGGCCCATTTTTCCTATCACAGAAGAAGAGCATCAATTAGTAACACTGGTTACAACCTTTACAGGAAAAGTTTCTGTTAACCTAATTTTTATATGAAACACCTACTCCAGAGTAGCCAACTATCTACCCTGTCACCTATCACCTATCATAAAGTGCTTGTATTCTTCTTCTGTCCCACAATAATAAAGCTCACTGACTTAAAGTTAATTCTCAAAAACTCAGATTATCAAACAACCAATTGGTAAACAGATCTTGAGTATTATCTATTAGCTAAACACTATTACATGCATAATCATTGGTTCACTAAACTCATTTGTAACTTATCTAAATAACCTTGCTTTTACAGTTTTGACTTTGAAAGCATAAAAACTTCTATAAAAATGGAAATGCTGAAAAAGCAATCCACAAAATGTAAAGACAAAATGAAGCAACAAAACCAAACTATATTTCAAGTTGACTGTATTACTTTATAGAAAAATTATTCCATTTCATTCAATAGTATTTAGACTCAATATCCAGTGGAATATAATACCAAGAATAAAAACAGCTTCATTTAACACTGCAGTCAGTAATCTTAAATTTGGTAAAAATATTGCTATGGTTATTTTGCAGTGGCATAAAGCATGTATAAAATAAGAAGTTAAAAGTAACCAATGTCACTGAACTTATGTATAGAAACTGATGAGAAACTAATTTGCTGTGTAAACTTTCACCAAAAATACAATTTAAAAAAGGTACTTCCTATTCTGCCCGCTAGTATCAGCCAGAAGCAATTAAAAACTTTAATAATCATATAACTCCTAGTGCCCACACTGTGAGTTCTAAGCATTTCCCAGCAAAAGTTTAAAAAGACTTAAGAAAAAGAGGTGACTGTCATCCATTTGGAAGGGGATCTACGTAGGAGATCTTTGACAGAGAGGGAGAACAATGTGGAATAAAACTCACAATCATTTGGAGGAAAAAAAAAGGGGAAGGACCAGTTTTGCTGGTCTGATAGAGCCTGGTGGAACCACTCAGACTACGGCTCCTAGGTGCCCTTCAGGTCTGGATTAGAACCCACACCTGTGGTTTCCAGCTAAACTTAAGACAGGCATATGAGTTGAACATTTACCTCCAAGTAGATACTCTCCTTGGAGAGAACAATCATGGGAGAAAGAAGGGCTGCTTATGCACAGGGAGACAGCTCAGGGGGCAGGGGTCCATGGAGGGATGGACACAGGGAAGAGGTAACTATGAGGAGGAAGTGGGAGGGGAGCTGTTGCATTGTGGTAAACTGTGGTCAATGTCATGAGACAAAGTATATGTGAACTGCTGTATGGAAAGTGAATTTGCTCTATAAATCTTCACCCAAATCACAATAATAATAATAATAATAATAATAATAAAAGAGGTGAATTCCAGGTTTAGATCAAGAAATATCTTGTCGCTCCAGGAAGTAATGCAAAACTTATGAGGATCAGATCTCAAGGTCATAGGAAAATGGTCTACTCGACAAAGATGAAATATTCTGAGCTCCAGACAGTGAGCTGCAATCAATTAAAAAGACATGAATTCTAAAAAAAAATTAAATATATATATATACACATCAAAAAAATTACCAAGAATGTAGAACAGGAAAAAAAAAAAAGAAAAAGAAAAATTTACCACCTCGGAAACCCAATGGGGATCTCTATCAGTCGGAATCAACCTGATGGCCAGGAGTTTGGTTTTATTTTCTCTCTCTCTCTCTCTCTCACACACACACACGCAAATTATAAGTAAAATGCTATAAAGTATGTGCTCTAGAAAAAAAAAATACGGAATACGAGAAAATATTGGTTAACTATGTAACTGACAAAGGAGATTTGGTGGTTTAATGGTTACGTGACTTGGCTGCTAACCAAAAGATCAGTGGTTCAATCCCAATAGCTGCTCCATGGACCGAAGATGAGACAGTGTGCTTCTGTAAAGATTCACAGACTTAGAAAACCCAATGGAGTTGGAATGAACTCGAAAGGGTCCAATATCCAAAATATAAAGAACTTCTACAACTTAAGAACAAAAAGAGCAAGAGCCCAATATAAAAATTGGCAAAAGACATGAATAGGCATTTTTCTAATAACAGATACATAAATGACCAATGTTGTTGTTGTTATGTGCCGTCGAGTTGGCCCCAACTCATAGCAACCCCTCCTTGGGTTTCCAAGGCAGTATCACTATGGAAGTAGGATTGTCCAACCTTCTTTCCGAGGAGTGGCTAGTGGGTTGGAACCGCCAGCCATTTTGTTAGCAGGCAAGTGTCTTAGCCACTATGCTACCGGAGCTCCCAAATGACCAATAAGCACATGAAAAACTACAAATCTAAATCAAAATGAGACATATACCATTTCACAATCATTATGACGGCTGTTTAACAAGTGCTGGTGAGGATGTGGAGATCTCATGCATTGCTGATAAGAACATAAAATGTGCTAAATATGTGGAGAACAGTTTGGCTGGTTCTTAAAAAAGAGAAACATAGAGATTTGCCATTATGTTACTCACCAAAGCCTCTCCTAGATATATACTCAAGACTTGAAAACAGAGACTCAAATACTTTATACACCAATGGTCACTGGAGTATTATTAACACTAGCCAAAAGGTAGAAACCATCTATCATAATAGCCAAAGTATCCATCAATAGATGAATGGATAAACAAAATGTGATACATACATACAACAGATTATTAGTTATCCATAAAGAGAAATTAATTTCTGGTATATGCTATAACATGGGTAAACCCTGAAAACATGTCCAGTGAAAGAAGTCAGACACAAAAGGGCAATTACATGGTCCTATTTATATGAAGTATCTATAGTATGCAATGCGGAGACAAAGATTAGTGGTTAGAGGGACTAGGGGGAAAAAAAACCCAAACCCAATGCCAATCCTGACTTACAGCAACTCTTTAGCGCAGGATTTCCCTAAGAGTGGCTGGTGGGTTTGAACAGCTGACCTCTGGTATAGCAACCGAATGCTTTAACTGAATGCCACCAGAGCTCCTTGGACTGAGGCAAAGCAAAATGAGGAATATTGCTTAAGGACTAGAGTTTCTGTTTGCGATAAGAAAAAACTTCAGAATAGTCGATGATAGTTGCACAACATTATGAATATAACTAATGATATTAAATTGTACACTTAAGAAATGGTTAAAGTGGCAATCTTTTGCTATAGATATTTTACCATAAAAAATTTTTTAAGAAAACAACATAAATTCATTCATAAATAATGTGGAAGTTGCTAGAGTACTGATTATACCAGAATTTAAAAACAAAAATTAGGAATCGAGACATGTCTTGCCTATCCAAACTAAACAGAAAATCAAGTATTAATGACAAAGTTCTGCAAAAGTATAGCTGATAAATGCAGAAAGAATTAGCATCAATTGCTTTTTGTAACCTCTAATGAGATAACTAAGGCACTCTGGTGACATAGTGCTTAAGGCACTTAACTGCTAACCAGAAGGTCGGCAGTTCAAGCCCACCAGCCACGCCACAAAAGGAAGACTGGACAGTCTATTTCCATAAAGATTCACCTCCTCGGAAATCCAAAAGGGTTTGCTGAGTTGGAACTGTTAAGTTTGGTTTGGTTGTTAATGATACCCGTGCAATGACCATCAATGAAGGATAACCATGAATCATCAATGTAAGTGGGGCAACCATTTTAAACCACCTGGTGTAATACAGTATGAAATACATAACACCTATCTGTGAAGTTATTTTCACCAAAATGAAATAAGTCTGAATTTAATCAAGCCTTTGAGCTGCGAAGTCCAGTAAGTTAAATCACTAAGCACATGTGAATACTGAGCACTTGAAATGTGGCTAGTCTGAATTCAAATATGCTTTAAGTAGATTAGATAGATAGATAGATAGATAAAGATACTGAATTTCAAAGATATTTTATGAAAAAAAAAAAAAAATTTTTTTTTTGGTAGAGAATTTAACTTTATTCAAAGAATTTGGTCCTGGTCCTGGGCTCCCCAGGAAAAAAAAAATCCTAAAACTTTACAGTTTTTTTTCCCCCAATGACCGAAGTGTCTTTGATGAATATTCAGGACACCCCTAAGGGTTTATGACTCATCTTGGGTAGGTATTGCCTATTCCAGAAAGACCCACCTAGTGTTATACCAACCTCATGTAGATATTTTATCAACTAACCTCAGAGAAGAGGGGCTAGAATTTCAATTATACAAATATCCCAAGTAAGGGTTCTGGAAAATACAGCTCCAGGAGCTTCCTGGTTGGTAATAAGAAACAGACTCACAAGGGAGGGTAGCATGTCCTCTTCTGAAACAACTTCAGAATAGTCTGAATTGGAACCTTTCCTATGCATCTCTTCTATTTTATCATTTTTGCTATAATTTCCAGAGTTTTATGAGTCATCCCAATCAATTATCAAACCAAAGATGGTACTGGGAGCCAGTAGAAATGAGGGGAATCTCAGAAAACTTTTGATCATACTGCTGGCATCTTACTAGGCAGTGGGGAAATTGTGAAATTTTAGACAGCAGATCAAAGTGAGGGTGTGTGTCATAGTTCTCCCAAGACTGCAGCTGGCATCTGAGGTTTCTGGCAGATATGACAGTCTATAGGGTTGTCTCCTTTAACTTGTGAGGTCTGACCTACCTCGAGGTGGTTAGGGTCAGAGGAAGGAGTGTGGCATGTGCAGCTAATATCAGAACAAAAATAGAAGAGAGAACAAAACTGATGGTAACTAGAACTTGGATTGATCAACAAACACATTTGTGTTCAGAGAAATGAGATTAGATTTTTTCAGCAAATGTTCAAGACCTCAACAATTTTTATATGCTTAAATGAGTGTATTAGCTTAAATAAGGGAGCTCTGGTAGCACAGTGGCTAAGGCACTTGACTGCTAACCAGAAGGCTGACGGTTCAAACCCACCAGCCACTCCTCGCAAGGAAGATGGGCAATCTACTTCCATAGTGATACTGCCTCGGAAACCCAAGGAGGGGTCGCTATGAGTCGGGTCCGACTCGATGGCACATAACAACAACAACAAGCTTAAATAAAATATATGATTAAAATGACTTTTATCTGCTTCTTTCAACTAATTTTAATGTGCCTTGTCAAAAAGTTTAAATTACATATATGGCCTGCATTATTTTTCTAATGAACAGAATTAATCAACATTTACCAGTATTGCATAAAATAGAAAAAGAAAATAACAAGTTAAATATTAAAAAAGTAATCAGCCAAGTTGAAACAACAACAAAAACCAAACCAGTTGCCATCAAACTGATTCCAACTCAGGGTGACCCAACATGTGCAAAGTACAACTGTGCTCCACAACCTTTCAGAAGCAGATCACCAGATCTTCCTTCCACGGCACCTCTGGGTAGGTTAGAATGGCCAACATTTTAGTTAGCAGTTGAGCCTGTGCCATCTAGAGTGTGTAAAATCACTAATTTTAAAAAAATTATATATAAAAACTCAAAATACTAACCGTAAAAAAAAGTAGTTATTGATATGAATTGCTATAAACTTTATAAATGTGAAAGAAGTAATTCATTAAATTGATAAATGCAAAGTATCAACAATGGAATGAATTATTCTTTCTTTTTTTTATGACTATTACAGCATTTAGGAGCTCTGGTAGCATAGTGCCTAAGGCACTTGACTGCTAATCAGAAGGCTGGCGGTTCAAACCCACTACTCTTCGGAAGGAAGATGGGGCAATCTACTTTACCGTAGTGATACTGCCTCGGAAACCCAGGGAGGGGTCTCTATGGGTCAGGTCTGACTCGACAGCACATAACAACAACAAAAAAAAAAACATTACAGCATTTGGGAGCTCTGGTGGTATAGTGCCTATGGCATCTGACTGCTAACCAGAAAGCTGATAGTTCAAACCGATCAGCCACTCCTCGGAAGGAAGACTAGGCAATCTACTTTCGTAGATATACTGCCTTGGAAACCCAAGGAGGTGTCACTATAAGCTGGAATCAACTTGATGGTAGTGAGTATTTTTGGTAATTATAGCATTTAAACCATTTATGCTTTTTTTTAAATCCATAAAAAGCAAAAATAAATTGACTTGTATCATAAACTCTTCAGTTTCCCCAATATTCACAAGCAAAGGTAAGAACACAAATTATAAGCCACATCAAATTACTATGACTATGGAGAGTAAATCCCAGAAGGTGACAATTAGGAAATTATGCATTGATATAAAATTCTACAATCATACAGGAACACAACTTCCATGTTCTAATAGTACTCCTGTATCATATGCAATACAATCTTAAGTTTAGCATTTGAACTATTAAGTGAACAGCATTCTGCTCTCATTTCTCAAAGTATGAATATGCCAGGTCAAAGAAGCAGACCTGATGGGGAAAACTAGTATCTAAAACAATATAAACAGGCTTTAAAGTTTTAAAACAGATGTTAGTAAGAGTAAGAGCCTTTTATTGAGTTTAAACGTGTTGTATTATACTAACAGCTTTTCTGGAATCATCTCTATCTTCTCAATTTATCTAAAATCTTCTAAACCCGTAAGTACTATTACTTAAGGTAAACACAGGTAGTTGTACTCTTAGGTACTATTAGATCATCACCATTGTTAACAGATGAGAAAATGTATGGCTTGACCAGGCTATGCAGCTTCACACACATGGAGTCACTGAATTACACATGTAGTAGTGAAGCTCTAAGAGAGGTCCAGAAAAGTTTACCTGCCAAATGTCTAAAGAACCCATGTATGACAAACTTGTACTGCATCTCCAGAGTCTAATGAGGAGGAGGAGGTTAAAGCCATATAGGTATCATCTCCAAATTATGAGATACCATTCCTGCTTCCATCTTACTCAAGATCGACAAGTAAGGGTTATTCAGCCAATACTATGTAAAACAAAATAATAAAATATTTAACTCATTATACTGTCAAACCTATGAAAGCTGGAACTTGGCAGGATTCCCAAATTGCCCACCTTTGACAGCATAAAGTTTTACTATTTATCTATCGCTATTTTATTTTTACCGTTGACAGGTATTTCAGAATCTATCACTCATTTAGGTGGAAAATAACTGTTTTCCTTCTCTGACAAGATTCCATCTTACACAGCTTATGGCTTGCCCAGTTTTACTGTACTTATATGCCTGTTGTTTTTGTTTGGCACCATAAATTTCAACTCATAGCCACCACATGTGACAAAGCATAACTGCCCTATAAAGTTTTCTTCGCTATTATTTCCACAGAAGCAGATCAGCTGGGTAGGTTCCATCACCAACCTTCCAGTTAGCAGCTAAGTGCTTAACTATTTGCTCCAGTCTAATATACATTTTTAAATTCGATTGAAGTGATAGCTACAATATCGAGAACATCTCAGGCTATTAAGGTTTATAGAGCGAGAAAGAAAGAGTGAGAGAAAAATAACTCTCAACAGAAAAATTTTCCACCCCAAAGAATTAATTTAACCCAGACCTTACCTAAAACCTGGCCAGCAATCATTCTGCCATCTTCTCCTGCTACAGCAGCCCGGGCATTTCTCTCATTAACATATTGAACAAAGGCAAAGCCTTTATGAACAGAGCATCCCACAATTTTGCCATACTTCGAGAAGATTGCCTCTACATCAGACTTCTTGACCACAAGTGTGTTGAGATTTCCAATAAATACACGAGAGTTCATGGAGCGAGGATCTGTCTTGTTGGTAACATTGCTGGCCATGGTGTTTGATAAGGTTTGTCACAAAGCTGAAAAACTACAAAGAAAAAAATACATTCAGGTGAACAAACACTAAAAACAAAGTATTCCTTGATAAAAATGTCTCTATTCTTATTTTGAAAGACAGTGACTACCAAGAGAGTATCAGTCAACTGTGAAGGACTCTTATCAACAATGAATGGGTAAGATCAAGTGTATTACTATTCAAAGAGCCCCTGAACATATCCTTACATAAATTCAACTACCTCCTCTCATACTCCAGCAGCATTAGACTTTTATTTCTCAAGAGCGGGAAAAAAAAAAAAAAAAATCCTCCTCACATACTACTACTGGCAACATAATCCTCTTTAAGTCCAACAACCCCCACTCCTTTGTTTTGAAGTTGTCAACCAAATCAGAAGCCCCTAAAACCTTTGCCAGCTCTGGTGGCACAAGCACCTAAGGCTTCTGCCTGTTAATGAAGAGTGTTGGCAGTTCAAACCCACCAGCCACTCCAAGGAAGGAAGACAAGGCAATCTACTTCTGTAAAGATTTACTGCCTTGGAAACCCAATGAGGTTCGCTATTAGTCAGAATCAACTCGACGGCAGTGGGTTTGGTCTTTTTTAACCCTCTACCAACAATTTCTGCTTTTATTTTCACTTTCCCAGTCATGCAAACCATTCCTTGCCATCTATTAATAATTGCTATCAGCAGCACTATCTTCTTCCACATTGCTTTATTAGCACAAAATGCTCTTTCCACTAATACTAAATTCTAAGTTCTATCCCAAACCACTCTTTAGCTAGATAAATGTGAATAAATGACAATCTTACATGCAAATAACTACAATAAAGACAACCAATTCATTCACTCTTGAAATACCTATAAGTACTTCAAATGAGTTATGTTATAAATACCTTATCAATACATATTTTATAAAATACAATGACTTTTAAAATTTTATCTTATGACATAAAATATAGCTAGATCATTTAATAATACTGGATGGTGATGATGATAAAAGTAGTCACTGGAACACTAAAACTCTAAAGAGGATCAGGGGATCAAGGAAGAGAATACAATTTTCCTTTAACTGTGTAAGATCAAAATTGTCTTTTCTCCCCCTAAATATGTTATCATTAATATACACAGCAAAATATACACCAATTCAACAGTTTGTACAATTTAGAGACAATGATTATATTCATCAAGTTGTATGTAATTCTCATCCTCTTCTTCTGAGTTGTCCCTCTCTAATATAAACTCACTGGGGCTCCCTAACGTTCCCATCTAATCTTTGTTGTCAGTTTTATCCCATATACATAGTTCTAAAAAGAGGATCATTTCAGGGCAATAGTTTCAGGGATTCATGCACCTACCACGGCTCCAGAAAGACTAGAGTACATGAAAATTTAAACTTCTGTTCTACATTAACCCCTCCCCCCTTTGATCAAGATTCTGCTACAGCATCTTTGATGAAAACATTCAGGAATGGTAGCTGGCTAGTAGTAATACTACTCATCAACAGGCTGTATTGGTTTAAAAGCAGTAACAACTGATACTGCTACTAACTATTCTGAAATTCAATAAATTGTCTTTACTCCAGTTTGATTTATAAATTTTATTTTTAGAAACATTTTATTTCATCTTTTCTTAATAGATTCAGCACTTAAAATTTACTAGTAGTCACCTGGCTTTTAACTACATAGGTCAGAAACCATGAGAACATCAAGAATATTAAGACAGAAATACACTACTAACAAACCTCACCAGATTGAGTTACCATAACTGTTAAAGTTCGCTATTATTACATGTGGGAGCTCTGGCGCATAGTGCCCAAGGCACTTGACTGCTAACCAGAAGTCTGGTGGTTCAAACCCACCAGCTACTCCTGGAAAGGAAGACGGAGCAATCTTCTTCCGTAGAGATACTACCTCGCAAACCGAAGGAGGGGTCACTATGAGTTGTAATCAGCTCTATGGCAGCAAGTTTGGTTTTTATTACACGTGGAAGCATGAAGAAGTTTACAGCAAATGTCTTCTCAGAGTTAATGTATTTATAATAAATGTAAAATTTCTCTAGGTTTCATGCGAAATTGCTCATGGGGACAAGGGAGTCCTCTATACACCAACAGTATGTTGAACATGGGGAAATACATAAAACAATAGATATTGAACTACTACTGTCCCCTTCAAGAAGTTCCTTTTTGAATCACAAAGCAGAAATGGATTTAAGTGACAACTTTCTCAATTCTCCCAAAGATAACTTATAACATAACTTATAACAATGTGAATGCACAAAAGATAATTCATTACATGTAAGAAACCCCATCAGCAAATGCTAGTAAAAATCTATCCAGGTAAACAAGTAAAAAGATGCTAATAATGGTTATCAATCTCAGCATTTAGGATCCAATTTTGTTCCCATTTTATTTGATAACATAAGGTTTCTAAATGTATTAAATCAAGAATCAGTTATTAAATTATTAAAATTAAATTATATTAGTTTTAAAATCATGAATTAATTATTAATGGAAAAATCATAAAATAACCCCCAACTTCAAGCTTAGTTTAATGTCAACAGGCTAGCCTTCAATGAGTTTAAGTAAAATAAAAACCAAATCAACAGTACTGAGACAAAATCCTTTGATCCTAGTCCTAGGAACAAATCTTACTAAATTATTAATAAAAATTTACCACAAATTAATTCATGTTTCCACTGAATATAAATGTTTGCTAAATATCAAGCATCAGGGCCCTTTAAGGAGATGACTGCCACAGATATGGTCCTCAGAGTTTATAGTCTGGTAGTACTGCTGTCAAAAATTTTACTGAAGAGGACAGACTGCTCAAAATTTTAGAAATCACCAAATAAGTTAAGGTCACATTTTCCTTACTTCTGACCTTTATCTACCTTACTCTGGAAGGGAAGAGAACTACTACTCTAAATACAGAGACTACTGGGGGAAAAATATCCAGACTGCTAGAAGAAAGCAACAACAGATCCTTTTAAAATCTCTCTGAATACCCACATAAAAAAGTCACTAGATGGCAAAAACAAAAATCCACAACATTTTTAACAAAACTAGGTGTATCAGGGCATCCCAATTAAAACCTCAAAAATTCAAGTTAATGAGGGGCAAACCAACGGCCACAAGATCTACATGGTATCGATATTATCAAAGCAAAAGGAAGTAATTGGGAGTCGTGAAGACCTAAAAATAACATTAAGTGCCACTGAGTTGGCTCTGAGTCATGGCGACCCTATGTACAACAGAGCACAACACTGTCCGGACCTCCGCCAGTCTCACAATCCTTGCTACACCTGAGGCAATCACTACCACTGTGTCAATCCATCCCGTTGAAGGCCTTATCCTATTTTGCTGACACTCCACTTTACCAAGCATGATATCCTTCTCCAGGGAATGGTCTCTTCTGACAACATGACCAAAGTACGTGAAATGAAGCCTGTCCTGGAAGGATAGCCAGAACTGCTCCCTGTAAGCTGGAATGGCCAGACGTCATCTCACCTACTTTGGTCTAAAAATAATAGAATCTGAAAATATCCATGTGCCACTTACTGGAAGATATAAATAAAACCTTTGTAGAAATAAGCAAATCAATACCATTTACAATAGCTACAAAAGATAAGACACTTGGCATAAATCTTACCTGGAACACAAAAGAGCTATACAAAGAAAACTACAAAACACTATTACAAGAAATTATAAGAGATCTATATAAATGGAAAAACATACCATGCTCACAGATAAGGAGACTGAACACTGTGAAAATGTCAACAGTACCCAAAACAAACTATACTGTCAATGCAATTCCAATCCTGATCCAATCAGTGTTCTTTAAGGACATGGAAAAGCCAATCACTAATTTTATATGGAAAGGAAAGAGACCTTGCATAAGCAAAGCACTAAGAACCAAGGAGGTCTTACACTCCCCGATCTCAAAATCTACAGCCACAGTAGTCCAAACAGACAGGTATTGGTACAATGACAGACACATCATCCAGTGGAACAGAACCGAGAACCCAGAAGTCAATCAGTCTACCTATGGTCAGCTGATCTTTGACAAAGGGCCACAAACCATTAAATGCAGAAGAAACAGTCTCTTTAACAAATGGTGCTGGCAAAAATGGTTATACATTTGCAGAAAAATCAAACAAGATCCATACATCACACTATACACAAAAACTAACTTTAAATGGACCAACAACTTGAAATGTAAAACTAGCAGCAAACTTAGGGGCCCTAATTTATGCCATAAATAGAGTATCAAGCAAAATGCATAAGCAGCATTAGATAAACTAGATGACTGGGACTTTCTGAAAATTAAATTCTTATGTTATGTGCACCAAAAGACTTCTGAAAGAGTAAAAAGAACTTACAGATTGAGAAAAAATATTCAGTAGCAACATATCTGATAAGGGACTTTACTTCATCTCTAAAATTTCTAAAAAGCCCCAACATCTCAACCTCAAAAAAACAATCCAATTTAAAAATAGCCAGAAGACATGAACAGACAGTTGACTGAAGACGACATTTAGGGGCACCAAACACAGGAAGAAATGTTCAAGGTTTTTAGCCATTTGTTGTTGTTATGTGCCGTCGAGTCGGACCCGACTCATAGTGACCCCTCCTTGGCTTTCCGAGGCAGTATCACTACAGAAGTAGATTGCCCCATCTTCCTTCTCAGGAGTGGCTGGTGGGTTTGAACCGCCAGCCTTCTGGTTAGCAGTCAAGTGCCTTTAGCCACTGTGCTACCAGAGCACTAGAGAGATATAAAAAATCAAACCAATAGCAAGATACCATCTCAACCCAGAACTTAATAGCAAAGTTCAGTAAGACAGAAAATAACAAATGCTGGCAAAGATGTGGAGACTGGGACACTCATACACTTCTGATGGAACTGTAAAATGATATAACCACTATGGAAAACAGCATCGTGCTTCCTTAGAAAGTTGGAAATAGAAATACCATTTAAGAGATCAATCCCATTACCAGGTATATATCCTAAAGAAGTGAGAGCCAGGACAAGAATAG